AAATGTGTGTGTGTGTGTGTGTGTGTGTGTGTGTGTGTGTGTGTGTGTGTGTGTGTGTGTGTGTGTATATATATATATATATGTATATATAAACAAAAAAAAAGGGCCCTAAATTGAACCTTGGGGTTCTCCATACATAACAATGTAATTCCACAGATAAACTACACAAAATTTAAATGAATTAGCATTCAAAGAAGAACTTTAAGGGGACAAAAGGCATCAGTATATACAATACGTCACTGTTTGGAGATGATTTATATGTACAACAGTCAAAGGTACACACAGGAGCCTCTTGATCTAGTGCTTTATTACTCCAGTTGAGTTCACCACGTTGAATTGTCAGAGGGATATTGAAGGGAAGGCCACATTGTGTGTGTGGGGATGCTGTCCAGAATCGGCCCAGAAATACATCGGCCACTCGGGAAAATTAACATATCCTCCTGAAATTGCTGATGAGCATCCTGCCCCTGATTATTATATTTCTATCTCTTTGTTCATATTCTTCGTGTCTATGTAATCTCTTTATGCTCCATTGTCAACAACACCGTGGCTTTTCATTATTGCCTTCACTTTGTTCCTCTTTCCAGAATATAATATCAAATGGCATCTTCTACCGCTGGGGGTTCTACGCTCCAGATGGGCCCGCCCTGGATGAGGTCAGCAAGCTGGTAGATACCGGGAAGGTACTGTATTGCTTCACAACCGATTCGAAACACCAACCAAAGCATCCAATTCAAATTGGAATTGAGCATCGTAATGCAGATTGGAGATAAAACAAGGATTCCATACATTCCCGATCTCCCGGCAGCTTTGTTTCGGAGTGCGCTTGACATTCCTGCTGTGCTGGTGGGTTGGCGTCCGATGGAATCAGGCGCTGAGAGAAGCTGAATGGATTTTTACACAGTGCTGAGCAACTATTCGAACAGGCCTTTTGTCCTGGGGGCTTAAAACAAGCAGCTGATTTAGACCAGTGGTGGGAAGCTATGGACACACGGACACACACACACACACACACACACACACACACACACACACACACTCCCAAAGTGCCGCTATCAGAAGTGTTTCCAGCGTGACACGGCCGCTCTCGCCATTCATTGTTAATAACGAGAGATGCTGACCAGAATAACAGGCCGGACCTGCTCAGGATTGTCCAGCCTCATCACATTCTATACTGCGCCCCTGACATTTCCCACATTGGAAGCCGGGGAATTCTGACAATTTGTTCATGTAGACTAAATACAAAATGTGGTTCCTGCTGCCGTGCACTGAACACATGTTTTGGATAAAATTCTGGAAATTATAATCGTTTCTCAGTCGCTGTCGAAATGATTTGTAGATTGTCTGTTGGGCCAGTTTGCGACTAATAACCTTTCCTACGACTTCTGACAATATGAGATTCCCCCTAATCTTTATATTCTACTCAAAAGTTGTGCTGATCTCAAATCCAGTGGGACGCTTCACTGTCATCTTCCGGGATCTGTTAATTTCATGCACCCTGTAACCTGATCACATGATAAGCTGTCCACTGTAGTAAACGCTGTCCCTGAAATGGTTAATTCAAAATTATGAATTACATTATAATCCGTAACATTGCTTGTCAAGTTATGAACTTTGAAATGTCTGCATAAAGATGAATGTAATCATCGTTCGGATTCGCTCAACCGCTTCCTGTGTTTTCTCCGCCATGCTTGTGAGGACAGATCTTGCCAGTGGTGGAGGCCCAGTTCGCATTCAGCCAGGTCCCTCAGGCTTTCCAGAAGTTGGAGAGCGGCCACGCCAGAGGCAAGACGGTCGTCAGCGTGACCGAGGAGCAAGATGGAGAGGAGCAAGACATGCGCCAGAACGCGGCGCAGGAAACGGTAACGCAAAGCTAGCTCCAGCGCAGAGAGAACGAAGCCGTGCCGATTCTTCTCCGTACAACCTCAGGTTGCAAACTCCAAAGAGACGAGATAAGTTAAAAAAAAATGGAACCCTCAAGACTTCTTGAAGACTGTATAACAAGATGCCTGAATGATGACGTTGCTTTGGTTACCAAGACCAGAGCCTCTCAAATGGCTAAAAAGATAATGCAATGGTGTCATGGCATAGTCTCATTTCAGGATTGAGTGTGAAAAGGCAAACATCCCGTGTTGACAATTTTTGAGGGCACTCACAATTTCTTTCTTGAGGTCACTATAAACATCTATCTATTTGCAGGCTCTAAATTATTATTCCTAAAGTGCATGCTTATTATTGTCCTGTAAAAAGTATTTTCATAGTGATTTTGTTGTGTCATCATGCGGGCTCGATTAAATTAAAAGTTCATACAAGGTGAGCTGAGGTAAGTCGAACTTTTGTTTTTATTGCTGAAGAATGTGTGATATAACGTTGGGAATAAAAATACATGAGACGCGTTAACACTGTTTTAAGTTAATTTACAAAATGGGTACATTGATTCATTCACTGGGGGAAAAAAAAGGAAAACATTAACCTTGAGCTGTAGGACTTGGAAGGTCTTCTTTCAAGTTCAAAGCTCACTGCTTGTATTTTAAGTCAGCGGGGAATACATTCTTTCATAGGTCTTTCCACGGCGAACGTTGCCAGCAAATGTGCACCCGGTCCTTGAATACCGGTCTTGCTGCATGTTATAGTCTTAAATAATTTCCACATCCCATTTTTGGTGTGCTTTGTTTGGATCCAGGGTGTTGAGAATCACTTGGTTTTTGTCATAATGATGTCCCCCTGTAAAAGACAAAATACATATTTAAACACGTTGTGTGTCATTATTCAACCATAATTCATTTTAGTTGAGTTTTTATTCGTTGTAGTTTTTTTTTTGTTTTAATATGTGGGCTATTTGTCGAGTACAAGATTAAAAAAAAAGACATTTTTAATATATGTAGTTCGAGTTAGTTTTTAAAAGCAGTTTTTGTATTTCGAGAAAGAAAATGTTTTTGCCCTGAGCAACGGTAAAAGGCTCGTGTGCAATTATCTTTTTATTCCACAAGGTGTCACTGTTGACAACGAAGGAAATTGGACTCGAGGGGAACAACTTTCGCCCCTGCCAAGTTTTGAACAAAACCTATTTAGACTTGTATAAGGGTGATGTCGCAATTTTCGAACAAATTTACTGACGCGGTGTGAAACCCGAGCTGCTTTACTTGAACACAAAGCTATTGTATGAATGGCAGGGTGTCAAAACATGCATTCATTGTACCTTCTCAAAGAGCATTTTTTTTTTCATATTGCCTGATACTAAACATATTTTCGTCACGCTTATAAACCTGACAGAGAGACAAGTTGAATCCTCCTAGTGTTCAAGTCCATCCAAAGTTCTCTTTCATTGTTAATCGTTTACCAGTCAAGGCTCACCTTTCACCTCCAAGACCAGATCAGAGGTCGGCATGTACCGGATGAAACCCTCGGGGGTGATACTCCAGACGTGGTTGTCCACCTCTGGCATGAGTCCCACACGGCTTCCCGCTATGGTCACACTGCCACTGGGACTCAGGCAACACTCCTCAAGGAGCTGGAATAGACACAACAGCCCACCCCATCCTCAGTCGATGATGTTCTGCTAGCTTGAGTCAGAAATTGTAAACGATCCCTCTCGCACCTTGCAGTGAAGATGGCCGCCGCGATAGACCCAGATCTGCTCAAGACCGTTAGTCTCCTCGGCCTCTTGAATCCGCAGAAGTTTGATGTCTTCCAGATCGCCCGTCACGGACATCAAAAGCCGCGTTTGTCTGTTCCTTAATCGGAAGTGCACGCGCCTCTGCGCAGCAAAACACCCAATCAAAAATAAAAGGCTCAGTGTTTCTGTTAGACGACTGACATGACATGACATGGTAGGAGCTTGTAGGTCACTTTTATGCTGTAACTGTACCGGTATATGCAAATGAGGCAGGTGTGGGTTTTTGAGAAGGGGCCTTACATACCTGTAAAAGGGGACGGAGTGATCCGATTTTACTCCACTCACTGAACTGGTGCCAGTTGGGTACCTCACCGGGTTTGAGCAAAATCTGAGCACCGCGATAGTTGATGCCCTCATATAATATCCACCTAACAGCACAGGAAGTAAACAGAGACAACGATTAGCTGCCGGTCTGTTTCTACACACAGATTATGAAGATGTTTATGTTTCCTAGACATTTTCTGTAACCAGGGATTTATTTTGTGTGCGCCCGCCCCCCCGTCTGTCTACTGCATTTGGAAAAGGAGGATTGGGCCCCTGCTGAAGTTGTCCCTCCCACAGTGAGCGCTTTGTATTTCCACAACTTGGGTTTACACCAGTTGTCTGAATGTCACACATCAGCAGCAGATTTCCATCGCCATCATTGTCAGACAGTGTTATCATGCTCAAAAAGAGGCCCTGGCACCGTTATTTCTATGCATAAATTGCTTCACCTACTTCACCACAAACGTGACTTGACCCAAGTCACAAGTTTAAATGGTAGACATGTACTGTACTCTATTGAAGTGTGTGTTCCACAGGGTTCAATTCTGGAGAACCTGCTGTTTTCATTCTGTTTGTTGCCACTATCTTAAGAAAGCGTGATTTTTTTTTTTTCCTTTCACTGCTATGCGAATCTACGTATAGACCTATTATATATTGACTCCCGACACTTTGTACAAGGAATTTATGTTCAGATTCCATCAAGTTGCTTGTCTTTTTCTATTGTGTCCCCCCCGCCCTCAATTATGTGTTTATAATTTCCTCCACTGAGTCACAGGAAGACTATAGTCAAGAGTGTTCCATCGTTCGGACTACTGTGATGCAACACTCAGGGTTATGTGTTGCTCATGTGCAACAAAAGAAACAAAACAAAACTGTGAGATTCACACCAGGCAGAGAACTTGTAGATGGCCTGGCCGCAGCCTGGATGACCTGTGCAGTGAGGAATATACTCACATGCCACCATCCACCAGCACCGACTGGACCCGGGCACAGCCCTCAGCCAGCTGAAGGTTGACGCACCCGTCTGTCAGCACTACCCGCTTTCCACGCAGATCGCAACGCTCGAAAAGAATGATGGACGGCTGAGAGAACTCCTGCCAAAAAGGGAGGATAGGGTTAAAAACAAAACAAAAAAACAATGGGTGGAGTACTGCAGGCTATGCAAAGTCAAATGGAGATTTTTGTACTGTTACCATGGAAACAGACAACACTCAGACCTTTGTACCTACTTGTCCCCCTCTCCCCTTTTTTTGTGTGTGTGAAGGGCTGGCTAAAAGCCTCAGGGTAGAAGATTTTTGTCTCCTTTAATGCAACAAATACAAAATATGTTTCATCCTTATTTTCATGAGAAGATTGGGAAGGTGTCGGTAACTTCGGCAAAAAAAAAATTGAATTGAGCTACTGAAATGATTTCTCTGCAACACACCATACTTACAGTATTTATTGACCTGTATATTCGATACATACTATAATTGTTCATGCTCATGAAATGGTAAATGCATCATGATTGTGAAATTTTGCAGTCTGGCACGTGAGAGTAAATCAACTTACAAAGCCGACAGTCTGTAACGAGCGGATGGCGGTCGACGCGTTGACGCAACCCATTGCCCTCACATCCTGGTAGTTGCCCTCCTCCAGCAGGTACATCCTGCCAGCGAAGTCCTGATCTTCGAACGCCAGCCAGCTAAGGGGACGTGAATATGAAATAAGCTCAAATTAAACGACACATAGCAGGAAACTGAAGTGATGTCAAGTCAACGTTTGAAAACGCTCACCTGCCCACCAGGACCTTGCAGGAGGCCACGGAGAAGCCTTGCTGCAAGGTAGCCACGCTGTCCTCCAAAGTGACGAGGTTGCCTTGAAAGCCTGGCTCGGAGAAAAGCTGCACCTGAGGACACGGAGAATGTGGCGCTTTACACCTGAATCACTCATTGCGAGCCCCCTCTCAAGTTTCTCTCAAAGACAGACACCTACTTTGAACTTGGCCACGTTCTCAAAATCATCCTGAAATACACAACAACAGTGAGTTATTTATCCCTTCTTTACAACACCGTCAAATCATATGCAGTCACGTTTTCTTGTGATTTTCACTGCATAACAATGGAGACTCATCATCATGTGGTTTGAAGGGGGCAAGGGGGGTGGGGGGGGAAGCCCACGATGAGTCATCTAGACCATCTGACATGCATTTTCCTCATTTTGTGGCCATTTCATTTGTTCTGGACTATTCTGTGTCACATGCTTTCAAGCAGGATCAACAATATAAGAATGTGTCAGTTCCCCAAGTCAAGTGAGGACACGAATAGGAAGGGGGCGGGGGTGGGGGTGGGGGGTGACTGGTCACATGCACTGAATATCAGTGTCATTGAAGCGAGTTTCTATCAGGATTCTCTTGGCGGGGGGAGTTCAGTGACAGAACTACTGTACATGGAAAAAAAAGCATATTCAACATGTAAAAGAATTACATAAGCAACTACAGAAGCATGAACAAGTGTCGCGCTACTGTAAGCAGTGAGATACTGCAAGCATTCTTTGTTACTAGACCCAATTTTAAGTTCAATTCAACAACATGGGCTACAACTGTTTTGCTTTAACTCTCTGTATTCCAACACTGGCGCTAAAATCTTGACACTGAACGCATGTCTGTACAATTAGTGCGAATAGTCATAAACAAAAATAAATAAACAAATATATAAATAAACATTCATTCATTCATGTTCTTCCGCCTATCCCGTTCAGTCTTGAACTGTGGAATTTTAAATTTACGCACCGAGCAAAGTCGATGAACGCACCACAAACTCGGAAGTGATATTTCAACACCGCCCCAGGTTTGAAAATTAGCATAAAACACACGCGAAATTACAAAAGTGCAAGACGAAATAAAATTATAATAACAACCCGCGGTAACTAAGGAAACAAAACGGTAAGATAACTTTTCTGAAAATAACACGTTCTCGTTTGTCTAGCACCAGATTTTAGCGTCCCGGTGCACACTCATCCGGCACTTAATTAGTTGCACATGCGAAACCTCACGGAGTCCAACAAAAAAAAAATGTATCTAATATTTCTCCGTTTGGATCGACAACGGCTGAAATGTTACTACAGAGACGTCAAAAGTACGGACACGGGTAAATGTGGAATGACTGAAGCTGCTCACGCACTTGAGCACTTTCAAACAGCCATCGCTGCATACAAAGTGCTGTACACAACAAAATTAAAATCCCCCGCCCCCAGCAAGACCAATATCAACGGTAAGAGCCTCGAATAACGGAATAAAACCCTTTTTGAAATGAAAGATGTTAAGAAATAAGGAGCTTAGACATTTTCAAGGCTTCAAAAAACAGGCAAAAATGGTCTCAAATTGTTTCAATTGTTACAATGGAATGGGTTGTGATGGTCGTTGCAAATTGGTGTGCAGCGATTTGGGGACAAGTGCAAAGAGAAGCAATTTGAGTTGAGATAAGCAATACCCAAAACAAGAGCTATAAAAGCCATCTCTGCAGTGCGACAAAAATGTTGGCAACGCCTCATGTTCTTTGGAAATGAATGAATTCGATGTCATGTCTGTATGTCCCCTAAAAATCGGTCGGGGTAGGTCGATATAAATTTTTCAGTAAGAACCTTTTGGGCGGTTAAGGATAAGTCATTGCCTGCGACAACCATCGAAAATACTGCAGGAAAATAATCAAAAACAAGGAGACAGAGGGGATAACTGTACACCATATCTTAAGAAAAAAAAATAGACACGGAAAACAAATTTTTAACAAGCCAAAGCTATTTTTTTTTTTTTTTGACAGGAGTGCAAAACAGCTGTCTTACCAGCACAACGGGCATGACTGAGGCAATCCGGTCCTGTAGTGCACCCCAGTCCTCCGGGTTTCCGTACAAGCCCTTTTCCAGGATGTAGGACTCCCCACAAAAACCAGGCTCTTCAAACACTACCCAGCTAGGAAAGAAAATATCAACTGTAATTTTCTTCCTCTGTAGCAGAGAAAATGTTTCCGCAGATGAAGTGGTCGCCGGATGTGTATTTGACAACATTTCCTTGATTGACAACATTTAATTGAGCCTCAGTTGCTTCAAGACATGATTGATTGAACAATTAATTATGACTATACTTGTCATTAACAACACTCATTTTTTTTAGTGCCCGAGTCCCCGATATGGACTTTTTTTTTTTTTTTTTTAAGGTTGATGCCAATTTTGATATTTAGCAAAGTCAAATTTTGATAACTGATTAACTGGCCGATTTATTAAAAAAAAAAAAAAAAAAAGTAATTCACAAAATAACTTGTATTTTGGTCTCTCAACACTTACCCAGGTAGCAGCTACCTCTCCGTTTCGGTGTCCTCTTGGCAAACGTTTGGAGTGTGTTCTTCATTGAATTTTGCTTTCAACACAAGTGAGGGCTTTTGTTGACTTTTCTTGGGGCTTTTGTGCTGGCAAGCATACGAGACCAGTCCCGCACAGACACGACAAACAAGCATGCTTATCACAAGGGCGTGCCGTGCGACCCAAAGACATGCTAACCACGCAAGAGTAAACATTCAGTGTTGTGAGAGTCCTCTCCCTTCTCACTGGGCCGGCAGGAATCACCGTTGCATGATTAGAATTCCGTTTGCATATTTTCTTGTCGATTTGTTGCGTCGTCTGATCATAGCTTAGAAACTGGACTTTCCGCTCCGCGGTTGTTATCGCCATACCGCCATTCGCAGCCATCCGCGGTTGATAGTACAATGAAAGGAAATTGAAAAGACAGTTACTGAAGTCTACCTTCCACTCCTCTTCCACATTTTGTTGTAGCCTCGTGGCGAGAGGGTTAGCGTAACAGCAACTTTACATAGGCAGGAAGTTGAGGTGTGGCACAGTGAAAAGCCTCAGCTAACCTACTTGTGTTGACATGCGCTTGGGTGTGGTGCCCTTAATGCTACCCACACACACCTGCACTGGCCTTGCAAAGTACGACAGGAAAGCACAAGAATTTATTGGATAAGCGCTGAGCTCACAGACGAGCAAGAATTTGCACAGTGCATGTAAAACTGCCTTGAATTCCGAAAGGAGTAGTGACATCATAGTTAAGTGATCTCTTAGTTGGTCGTCGGAAATATCGGTCAAGTGTGTGAAATGGATGATTAATCACCTCTTGAAGCAATTGAGGTTAAAAAAAAAAATAATAAAAAAAAGGTTGAAAGTCGACATACATGCCACGAATGACATCAGCAGACTGCGTCTTGGTGCCGTAACCCGTGTCGTCCATGTTGATGACGGGCACGACGAGGTCGATGTTGACTCCCCGGTCGCTGAAGTTTTGGTTGCTGAACAGTTTGAGGTGCGGTGTCATGAAATCCTGGAACACAGGGGTGTCAAACAATTTTTTGCCAGGGCCCCCTTTTTGTTACCGGTTTGCCTTAGGGGTCCTTAATGAATGGAAACCATATAAATATTTAATCACCTCCACATATTACATACACAGCACACAACAAATTGATGGAAAGACACTACTTTTAAAATCAGAAGTCAAGAATAATGACTTTTATTGTGGATTACATATGACAATTTGAAATTTTGGTTCCGACTTCAGCAAGCATCATGGAACTTGACATGCTTGATTTGCTTTCGCGGGCCACATAAAATGATGTGGCGGGCCAGATCTGGCCCCCGGGCCTTGACTTTGACACATGTGCTGTAACAGATGTGATTAAGTCGTTTTCAGTTGACAGCAAAAGTTGACAGCAAAAGTTGCAGGTCAGGACAAAATGGCCGCGTCCTGAGAGTGAATAAAAACGGGTGGCTTTTTCTGCTTAATTTATATTCCACAAACGTAATAATTGTTTTTGGTTTGACTTCCCCTTTAAGGTACTCACAGCCAGGATGGGTCGCAGTGACAGAATCTGCCCCGAGTCTCCCCAGTCGCTACAATCCAGGTACTCACAAAAATGTTGGCAACGCCTCATGTTCTTTGGAAATGAATGAATTCGATGTCATGTCTGTATGTCCCCTAAAAATCGGTCGGGGTAGGTCGATATAAATTTTTCAGTAAGAACCTTTTGGGCGGTTAAGGATAAGTCATTGCCTGCGACAACCATCGAAAATACTGCAGGAAAATAATCAAAAACAAGGAGACAGAGGGGATAACTGTACACCATATCTTAAGAAAAAAAAATAGACACGGAAAACAAATTTTTAACAAGCCAAAGCTATTTTTTTTTTTTTTTGACAGGAGTGCAAAACAGCTGTCTTACCAGCACAACGGGCATGACTGAGGCAATCCGGTCCTGTAGTGCACCCCAGTCCTCCGGGTTTCCGTACAAGCCCTTTTCCAGGATGTAGGACTCCCCACAAAAACCAGGCTCTTCAAACACTACCCAGCTAGGAAAGAAAATATCAACTGTAATTTTCTTCCTCTGTAGCAGAGAAAATGTTTCCGCAGATGAAGTGGTCGCCGGATGTGTATTTGACAACATTTCCTTGATTGACAACATTTAATTGAGCCTCAGTTGCTTCAAGACATGATTGATTGAACAATTAATTATGACTATACTTGTCATTAACAACACTCATTTTTTTTAGTGCCCGAGTCCCCGATATGGACTTTTTTTTTTTTTTTTTTAAGGTTGATGCCAATTTTGATATTTAGCAAAGTCAAATTTTGATAACTGATTAACTGGCCGATTTATAAAAAAAAAAAAAAAAAAAGTAATTCACAAAATAACTTGTATTTTGGTCTCTCAACACTTACCCAGGTAGCAGCTACCTCTCCGTTTCGGTGTCCTCTTGGCAAACGTTTGGAGTGTGTTCTTCATTGAATTTTGCTTTCAACACAAGTGAGGGCTTTTGTTGACTTTTCTTGGGGCTTTTGTGCTGGCAAGCATACGAGACCAGTCCCGCACAGACACGACAAACAAGCATGCTTATCACAAGGGCGTGCCGTGCGACCCAAAGACATGCTAACCACGCAAGAGTAAACATTCAGTGTTGTGAGAGTCCTCTCCCTTCTCACTGGGCCGGCAGGAATCACCGTTGCATGATTAGAATTCCGTTTGCATATTTTCTTGTCGATTTGTTGCGTCGTCTGATCATAGCTTAGAAACTGGACTTTCCGCTCCGCGGTTGTTATCGCCATACCGCCATTCGCAGCCATCAGCGGTTGATAGTACAATGAAAGGAAATTGACACGAAAGTTACTGAAGTCTACCTTCCACTCCTCTTCCACATTTTGTTGTAGCCTCGTGGCGAGAGGGTTAGCGTAACAGCAACTTTACATAGGCAGGAAGTTGAGGTGTGGCACAGTGAAAAGCCTCAGCTAACCTACTTGTGTTGACATGCGCTTGGGTGTGGTGCCCTTAATGCTACCCACACACACCTGCACTGGCCTTGCAAAGTACGACAGGAAAGCACAAGAATTTATTGGATAAGCGCTGAGCTCACAGACGAGCAAGAATTTGCACAGTGCATGTAAAAATGCCTTGAATTCCGAAAGGAGTAGTGACATCATAGTTAAGTGATCTCTTAGTTGGTTGTCGGAAATATCGGTCAAGTGTGTGAAATGGATGATTAATCACCTCTTGAAGCAATTGAGGTTAAAAAAAAAAATAATAATAAAAAAAAGGTTGCAAGTCGACATACATGCCACGAATGACATCAGCAGACTGCGTCTTGGTGCCGTAACCCGTGTCGTCCATGTTGATGACGGGCACGACGAGGTCGATGTTGACTCCCCGGTCGCTGAAGTTTTGGTTGCTGAACAGTTTGAGGTGCGGTGTCATGAAATCCTGGAACACAGGGGTGTCAAACAATTTTTGTCACGGGCCACATTTTAGTTACGGTTTGCCTTAGAGGGTCGTTATGAATTTTGGGAAAACCATATGAATGTTAAATCACTTCCGCATATTACATACACAGCGCACAACAAATTGATGAATAACTAGTTTTAAAATCTGAAGTCAAGAATAATGACTTTTATTGTGGATTACATATGACAATTTGAAATTTTGGTTCCGACTTCAGCAAGCATCATGGAACTTGACATGCTTGATTTGCTTTCGCGGGCCACATAAAATGATGTGGCGGGCCAGATCTGGCCCCCGGGCCTTGACTTTGACACATGTGCTGTAACAGATGTGATTAAGTCGTTTTCAGTTGACAGCAAAAGTGGCAGGTCAGGACAAAATGGCCGCGTCCTGAGAGTGAATAAAAACGGGTGGCTTTTTCTGCTTAATTTATATTCCACAAACGTAATAATTGTTTTTGGTTTGACTTCCCCTTTAAGGTACTCACAGCCAGGATGGGTCGCAGTGACAGAATCTGCCCCGAGTCTCCCCAGTCGCTACAATCCAGGTACTCCCCTTCCTCCAGCATGTACTGTTGCCCTTCAAACGCTTCCTCGCTGTAGCCGACCCAACTGGAAGATAATATTTGCAATTGTGTATTCATTGCTACAGACCACGGTGATCAAACTATCACTTCAAGAACGAAAAACTCACAATCCTCCAATTATTTTCAAAGAACCCACAGACTTCATCTCGTGAGTGTCGGCGTCGGTTTCGTCTCCTTTGCAAAAGCTGAAAAGATCGCTGTCGATTTCCAAATAGGGACCTTCCAGTCCGGGCTTCTCGTACACCAAAGCCTAGCAGAACGAAACGGGCGGTCTTTTCAGCAAACGTGACGGGTGTAGGTTCAGGAAATAAGACGCTACTTCACTCTGTCTTGGCCGCCTTACCTTCACTTCATTTGGGTTCTCCACTTTAAAACCACCCTGAAACAAATACAACATTTATCTTAACAATTTGCCGGATTCAGCTCATGAATACTTTGACAATCTCTGCAGGTGTTTCCCACACAACATAGCCCGTCGTAAGAAGCCGCTGAAATTTGAAAGTCGTCACCGAGATTTCTTGTCTGTTACCCTGCTCATCCTTGGATTGCTACTTGCAATGCAAAATGCTTACTTGGCGAATGCTACGAACCATTTTGAGGGGTTTGAGGGAGCCCACGAATGGTGAGGGGAAGCCCCAGGTCTCAGGTACGGGGTACACTCCTCTTTCGAGAACAGCCAGCATTCCTTGAAACCCCGGATCACTGAACACCAGCCACCTAAAGGCAGGAAACAAAAAAAGAAAAAAAATGACACTTTTGTGACCCTTTGCTTGATCATTAAGCCAGAAGGTGGATTATTATCCATGAAGTGCAACTCAGACATAATCAGTCGAGCGAAAATGATATTATCTGGTACTTTTGTCCAAATGGACAACTGATATTAATTTGTTTCAAAAAATTCTTGAAAATTGCATCGTGAACAGGTTGTGTAAAACGACAAAAGTATGAAGTGGAATCAGTCAAGATGCTTGATAATCGGGCTGACCTTGTATTGCATTTGTCATACATTCGTGACTCATTACTCCTCTTTCAAAACGAAGGTCAAACATGTCCAATCCTTTTATGAATTAACCTCACTGAGAAAAAAAAAAAAACTCCTTTCAAATTTTTCAAATAAAATATTTCACTGCAGTTAAAAAAAATAAAAATAAAAAATAAAACTCAACTAAAAGCGAAAGAAGGTTGATGATAATAATCTGTTGGTCATGTTAAAATTGTTCTATTACGAACCCTGCGGATAAAATGAACGACTTGCATATTGAAAGGTAAAATTTGAATATTGAAATAACATGGCTGCATAATTTTTTTCAAATTATTTGGCTCTGTTTCATCTTTTTTTTTTTTTTTTTTTTTTTTTTTGGAAAGAGTCCCCATTGGGTACCGATGTGTGCCGTCCAACTACTTTTCACGCTACTACTTTTCCGAGTGCCATTCGTGGAGAAATGATCCTGTTGTTTGGGACTTTACAAAAGTTCGTAGTCATGTCAAAAAACACAGCTTGAGTGGCCAGGCATCATAACAAACAAACAAAAAACAACAACAATAGCAACAAAAAAGAGAAACGTACACAAAAAAACAAAACAAAACACACAGACAGTCATCAACTTATTCCAGGCGTTGAGCACAAAATGTCTCATCTGACTCACTCGTGTGGTTTAACATTTTCTCCTTTCTCCACCACACCTTTTTGTCTGCAACTCTCATTCCTCCGCCTCACTTTCCAAGTAATTCCCTTCAACCACCACCACCCCCGAGCACACGCCTCCTGCCTTCGAACAGGCATCGGCACGACAGACATTCCTGAGCAAACGCAAGTGACAGTGAGGCGACGACAGAGAATGAGGAAGTCGGTGATGACGAGGATTCGGCTCACGTTGCCAGCCTCCAAATGATCGACGTCTTTGAGCGTGCCACGCAGTCTTTGAATGCATCGTGCCTCGCTAAAGCCACCATTTTACCTGTGGATCAGTCTCACTAAGCGAGAGCTATGTGAGTTGATTCAGTAATTGGAAGCATTCGGTCAATACTGTCTCACTCCACCAGGGGGTCAACTACCGTATTTTCCGCACTCTGAGGCGCTTCGGAGTATAAGGCGCACTTTCAACGAATGGCCTATTCTAAAACTATTTTCTTAAATAGGGTGCACCGCATTATAAGGCTCATAGAATAGAAACTACAATAGTGCCTGTGGTTGCGTTATGCATCCACTAGATGGAGCTACGCTAAAGGGAATACAATAAAATAAAATATAGCTTTATGTGGCGCTTTCACAACCGCTGCAGCTGTAACAAAGCGTTTCGCAGGATATTTAAAATACTATGTCCAGGAAATCAGAATATTGATCCACGTAGAAGGCGCATTGGATTATAAGGCGCACTGAATGCTTTTGGGTACTTAGATATGGTACTTGGATCTGAGCTACTTACACCCCAGAGTGAACTTGGATGGAGGCGGTGCTCAGGGGGATGCCAAATGATCCGGTCTCGATGGCGTCATCGTGGTAAGCTGTCACTCTACCGTGGCCCTCCGGTTCAGTGAACAGATCAATATGAGGTGTGCAGTAATCCTGCGGAGAACGGTGGACAAAAACAGCAACTATTAGCGCTGGCGCATGTTCCGTACCTTAAATTGTTCCTTTGGAGCTGCAATTAAGTGACGGTCTGTTTTTACATGTAGCTGTCCAGGAACCCCACAGTGAATAAAAATGTGGCCATTATTGCCGATTAGTTAAAACGCCGGGTCCCTGTGTGGTCATGATAACATCTCAAAAAAAAAAAAAAACAAAAAAAAAAACAAGGTCAGGAGAGGTGGAATCGTTTAAGCGGCACACTCACACATACGGCAAGTCGAATCGAGCCAATCAGCATGGGCGAGGTGTTGTTTTCCTCGGGTTGTGCCCACTCGTTTGTCAGTTCAAGGCCCCCCTCCTCCAAAGCGATACAGCGTCCCTGAAAGTCTGGCTTCTCGTAGAGGATCCAGCTGTAGTCGGGGGTGGGGAGAGAAAGCCCTTCTCAAATCAGTTGGAGAGAGACATGGTTTGTCGAGTTAGAATTTTGGGGATAGTAAAATATCGCGGCAAGGAGTCTGAGCAGCGCTTTTTTTGCGAGGTCGACTGGGCTCTTGGCCACTTTCTTTCTTGGTTGCCTCAGCAAATGACTGCAGTTTGCCAGGCACGCTGTTGACCATTCTTTTGTCTTTTATTCTAATTTACCCCTCGTAAGCCGTAACGATGCATGCGCTCGGCACATACGGGCGCACTTGATCTGACATCGCGCTCGGCAAATGCCACAACAATCGGAGATGAGTGGAGACTTTTGGGCTTGGGTTTAGACTTTTGTAGGATGACTATTTGATCTAGAATAAAAGCAGTCAGCATAGTTGGATGAGAACCTTTTTCGTTTCTTGACGTCACTTCTGTCATCTTTTCAGGCGACACGGATATCCTAAAACATGACTAATTTTGATTCGATGTGCCCAAAGAATGTACAGCTTACCATCCACGTATGACCTTCACAGATATGATACTGGAGAACTGCAGCTGAGTCGCGTCTTGGACATCCCGGTAGATCTCGTAGGCTTGCCCGCTGAACTCAGCATTTTGGAACAACACAATCTATGGAAAGATACGAGAGGATGTGCAGCTTTTTGTTTAGCGAGGTGGAGTCGAGTCAAAGGCGCACATTTACAAAACCCAGCGTCAACAATGTAGGACTCCGACTAAGCATAACGACTTGAGTTCGTCGGCCAACATCAAGCTACATACATAATACTGGCACTGCATTTTACAGAACCGGTAATTCAGAAATGTCGTTTGAAAATCAGCTCAAACTCTCGAGTAAGGTAAAAAAACAAAGACCTGATCAACTGAAATTACATCAGCTGTCTCCAGGAATACAACCAATTCCGCAAGGAAAATGATTTGTCGATCGTAGTAAAAACCTGTGGCAATAAAGTTCAAAACAAACGTATATGCCCTAACCGAAAAGACAACGTAACCCGCCTGGCAGATACAAATAAACCTGGCTAAAATATTTTCACATCAACCATAATGAAGTCTCGTGTTTACCCGCGCAACTGGCAGCCCCGATTTCTATGACGGTAATCACATCCAGCTTTGCACCAAAATGTTCTTTTAAAATGCATTTATACCCCCCCTTTAGTACAACATATGAAAAGCAGATGTTTTCACTGCTCGGCGAGTCAGTCTTTCCAGAGTTCCTTTCCAACCTCGGTACAATTGTGTGTTGTTAAGTTCGGGTACCTTTCCAGGTCGCTTGTGAAATCCCCTGGCAGTCCTCGCCTAGGAGTCAAAAGCACACAGGCGTTAACGTGGCAGAATCTGGAGAATGACAAATATCTACAAGGGAGGCCGGGTATGCGTTTCTTTGTGCCACGTTGATTGTCAGAACCTTTTTTTTTTCCCTTTCCGAGTGCTGAAAATATAGCTCCCCGATGGGGACGTTTTACGCTTGCGCGTGGTCAAAGCAACATGCTGGCGAGGCCTTCGCAACCTTTTAATCATGGTTTTCACGTCGTCACGCAGATCTTGAAATGCAAACAATTGTGAGCTGCAGGCAACGGCACAGTGTAGTCTTTGTCGGTGGCTAAAAGGCATCCCACTCCCCCCCGCCCCCCACGGACAAAAGATCCACTGTTTATGTAAATAGAGAAGCTTATGTTGCAACTAATGATGACTCTCGGCAGAAGAACTAAACGGCAAAATGGTCTAAGCTTTGCCGTGTACAAATTGTAATTGCCTTAATACTCCTCTCACAGTGCCAAAAGCAGATCATGTTGTCGAGGAAAAACAAAACAGATGCATGTTCGTTGATACTCTTTAAATGGTTAAGGGATTCTTCAAAAAAAGATGGCGTGTGTGTGTGTGTGTGTGTGTGTGTGTGTGTGTGTGTGTGTGTGTGTGTGTGTGTGTGTGCCATACTTACATGATTAGTATGTATCCTCTGAGTCACAGGCTGCTTCAACTCTGAAAGTGGCGGGTAAATCTGAGGTGGATTTCCACTTCTATTTCCAAAAGTGGGAGGCACAGCATTCGGGAGGTTCAAACTTGGTTTTCCAACCAGATCTGCTTCAGTGACAGAAGCTGTAGTTGCTATTTTTGCAGCAGCCTAATGATTAAAGAAAAAAAATGACAAAACAAAACACCTGAAGCCCAAAGCTTTATCACTCTCACAAACCGTTTGTTTTCTTATTAAAGCGTAAAACATGCCTTGTGAGGACATTACATTTCTTCAAATTAGCACAGAAAAACAAACCTCTGCTTTCATTTGCGGGTGTTCCTCCATGCTCTGGGCTGAATTTGCTGCTTCCCGAGGGAGGTACTTCTCTAAATAGTCAGGCAACTTGATGTCGTCAAAAGAGGGAAACGGAGGACCTGAGTCACTGACCGCAGCTGCTGTAGGCTGCATTTGGTCCCCGCACGGCGCGGTGAAATTTTCGGCAAATGAACTGGTGGCGGTCGGAAGGGGTGAGGTTGACTCTGACGAAGGGCTGAGCTGGGGCGATGCATCCCGAGAGTTGGTACTTTCTGACAGCGCCTGAATTCCATTTCTTCTCCCCCTGGTGCTGGAACTCTTGAGGCTGCTGAGTACGCAGCTTCCCTGCAAGCGAGACTTGACAATAACGTGGTCCTCTTTCTCCTCCTTACTTGTCTCCTGCTCTTTCTTCGGGGTCTTGTCTTTTGCATGAGAAGAAGCTTCCAGACTACTGATCAAAAGACACCGATCAGCGATGCTCACCCTCGCTGGCTTAGCGCCACTTTTGGTTTCTGGGTTTTGAAGCTTAGCTAAAAGGCTCGGGCCTGTGTCGAAGGTCCGGTTTTTCTTCCTCAGGCCAAATTTAAACTCATCCGGGTCAAACGTCTTCTCAAAATGGTCTTCCTTGATGGCTGGCATCGCAAATGGGGGCTGGGGCGGCCTGAGCGGATTGTGTTTACGAGGCGGTAGGGAAAAGGGAGCGCACAGCTTCTGGATTTTTTCAATGAAGTTTTCATCATCGAATTCATCATTGTCCAGAAGATTGCTCTCGCTGACGGAGGCACTCAGCTTGGTCCCTGGGAGTTTAAGTCTCTGCTTGGGAAAGTCCACATCGAGCCAACTCGATGGGGCGTCCTGTTGAAAGGAAGAATCGTCCCTGCTTAGTCCTCGCTGCGATTGCATCCTCTTCGGGGACGACGGCTGGACTGAGTCTGAGTTCAGCTTTTTAGACTCTGGGGAAGTTAATACTTTTGGAGTTGGACTGGGCTTATTTCCTGGTTCATCTTTGACTTGAAGTTTGGAAGAAAGATCAGCGTTAACAGTCGTGGGATGCACAATAATCTCTGGTGGCTCAATCCCTTTCTTATCGATCTTCCCTCGCAAAGCCTCTGCGGTGCTGGAAAGGCCGCCGTCGGATCTTTTCTCCAAACCCCTGAATGGAGGAAGATCACTTGTGCTCACCGTATTATTCGGTTCCTCAGACTGAGGGCGACTCGGTTTTGTTGTCGAGACTTTAACTTCGACAGCTTCTGAGTGTGCTGCTAAGCGTTGAGTCTGACTGCCTTGAGGTTTCCCATCAGTGCTTTGAACAGAAATATTGGTCGACTCTTTAACAGTCGCCGTCTTGTCAGTCTGTGCGCTGATCGGCGCAGGGGGGTCATAGGAGACAATTGCAGGCGCTCGCTCGGGCGTTGCGCTGACAAACTCGGCGCCAATGCCCTCATGTTTTTTTGAAGCCTTACTTCGAAACGCTTCAAGTTTTTCCGCAGGTGCACAATCATCGGAAGAGCCTCGGGCACTTTTTATTTCCATTTTCTGTGTGAGGGCGGTGATCTCAGCTATCTCTGGATTTGTAATAACCGTTTGGTTGGCAGTCGGTGTTATCGTCGGGAGGTTTGCGGCTTCTTCATTGTTTTCCAACTCCGCTTTTTTAACATTTCCGCCGGGCCTTGTGTCCTCTTTTCTCCCCGTCTGATTTTTCTGATTATCCATCGCTTCGCTTTCCCCTGTCCCGGAATTTTCTTGTCTGGACTGTGAAATTGGGGTTGTCACTTGAGTTTGTGTTTTGTCTGACGGGATAAGATTTTCTTCAGCCTGGCTGCTGTTGTCACCATGTGACCTTTCTAATTTATCAACATCTTTTATCTGACTCCGACTCGTTGGCTTTGTTTCCAAGTTTTGGTGTGCGTGTTCTGTGTCTTTTTTAACGTGCCGAATTGTTTTTAGTCTACTTGTCGGTACAGGCCGCGGTGGTGCTTCCACATCGAATTTTGGACCTTCGGCAGGTGGGATCCGAACCACCGGGGCAGGCTCCCGTTCGGCTGACTGTGAGCGGGAGGACGATTTATCCTCTGCTGTAATTTTGACCTCCTGTTTGGGTGATGGAATTTCTCTCTCGGCCTTTGCCCCCTTTTGGGCTAAACTAACGGGAACCCTGTCAATAGGTTTCTTGGTTTTTCTGTTAGAAGCAGCGGTATCAGGTTCGTCTTTGTTGACAGCTGTCGGTTCAGGTAAAGCCTCCACTCTGTTGACCAATTTATCGATGACTTTAGCATCAGTCGACGGCGACTGTTTATCGGATTTGTCGGATTCTTTTACAAATATACATTTATTGGAGAGGACTCCATCCACTTTATCAGGTTGCCGAAAAACATCATCGTCAACCTTACTTTTGACCGAAGTGGCATCTTGCTGACTTAGATTTGGCTTGCTTTCCCGATCTTCGCTCACCGGACTGGTTGCCTCCCTGCTTTTTCTTCGCTTGGAACGAGACGCTGGTTTGCTAGTGGCCTTGGACCGTGCGCTTGTATTATTGGTCAGTTCTACGTGATCACCCGCGCCTTTCGTCGCAATACTTGAGTCTATGCTGTTGGATTTCGTACCCTGATCTGCGGTCTTTGAGGACTGTGTGCCATGTTGTTCCCGTGGTATGGAACCTTTCGCCCTCACAGCAGAGGTATCCTGTCCACCGGGTTTTAGTGTTATCCCTGTCATTGCTTTTGTATCCAGTTTACCCTGACTGTCGGGTTTGGATGACTTTGATGCAGTGGTTGCCGCAGATGTGGCCAACTTTTTTGCCATTCCTGTCTTGGCTGATTTTTGAGGCAGCATTGATTTCGAGTGCTTTGTTGATTCCTCCGCAAAGTTCCTCGCTCTCTCTTTCACCGTCAGTGGAATCTCATTTTCCGGTGGCACGGGGCTGGACGTAGCGCCGTCATATCGCTCAGCTGATTTCGATCTCTGCGTCGATGACAAAAATTCAGCTTTGAGCTTCGCGGTCTCTTTCCGAGCAGGAGAGACATCAGCGCTCCGGGGGATTTGGAAAGTTCTTTTGAGGCCCGTCACAGCTCCCTGGCGCTCAAATATGTTGATCTTATCTGTAATTCGGCCAATAACTGGTTTATCCTCGAGTTTCTTGTCCTGCTCCCTGCATATGATCAAAATTAGAATGATCAGAAAACATGCACATGGCTGAGTTTGGAAAAATTTTACATTTTCATTTTGACAAATGTCTATCATGTATAATATTTATCGAATTATGTTGTTTTATCCAGTTTTTTTTCCCCTAAAGTGCTCTATAAATAAATTGTATAAAGGTGTGTTAAGCTTTTCAGCACAGTGTCATGTCAGGAAACTAGATGGGCAGGTTAAATTATCTCCACACCCGTTGCACTGTATTTAGCATGTATTCTACTTACACAATAAATGTAATCACGGTCAAACTTTTTTGTTACAGAAAACTTACTGTTTAATTTGACATTCTTGACCGGTCACGATGAAATGTAAAAAAAGAACTTACCTTGTATCAACTTCTGTTTTGAGCTCTTCCTTGGCTTTATTTTTCTCTTGGTCCGGTGCCAATTCCAGCTCCACTTCTGCTATACTTTTCTCCGCGTTCAAAGGCACGTTTTTGGGGAAAAGCTTCACTTCTGTCCGAGAAACCTTGATACTTCTCCGTTTGGACTCCGGGGTCTCTGTCTTGCGCACAACTTTGTAAAAACTGTCGTCGTCCTCCATGACTGCACCGCCATCAACAGCGGCGACTGATCCCGAGCCCAGGAATTTGTCCGCATGCTTGGGACAGGAAGTCTCATTTTCCCCACCTCCAGGTGAGGCCGACGAGGTGAGGCTGTGCTCGGAGGAGGAGTCTAAAGGCTGCACTTCACCGTGACTCTGTGTACTTTCTCCCTGTGGGCTGGTCTTTGAGCTGTCAGATGAGGGGAATCCTTCTTGACCGGGTTGGACATCGGGAGACGTTTTTCCCTGAGGGCTGCATGCGTCATCTCCCTGAGAGGTCTTTCTTGATTTCTTTTTAGCTGAGTTTTTACGGCCCATTTTGTCAGCCTCTGTTTGCTCTGCGCCGAGTTCAAGCCAGTCTTTGTGTAATTTCTGCGACACGCCCTCTTGCGGCACGACCACAGGCTTCAAATTTGCAAGCGTGCTCTCGTCCGCTCTTGAACTTGAGCCCCGTGACAAATCAAAGGAAGGCGACTTTGGCGATTTCGACTTTGATAAGACGGGCAGCTTTTTCTCGATGGTGGTGCGGATCACTTCCTGCCCCGTCAAGGTGTCTTGCCCGCAGTGAGTCACGCTGGTCTCTTCTACGTACACGTGGAGCTTCCTTCCTGCCAGGGACTGTGTTGTTTTCTGGGGCAAAGGCTGGGTGTTAACCCGGTCAGAGTTCCATACCACACCCTGCTCCGAGGAGGAGGCGTTGGCGGAGAGATCCGTCAAATGACAGGCAAACCGTTCAGAATTCCCGCTCACCCAAGTACCATGACAGCCCTCCTTGGCCTGCCCTATTCGCTGCCTTTTGCTGAATAAAAGCTCCTCCTCTTTAGGAGGAGTCACTTTGCCGCTCGCAACAGAGTCGTCTCTGTGGGCAGACTGTATGGCGTCCGCTTCGTCAAAGCGGAAAATGTCTCTTGAGGGACCAAGTGGATCAGGATTGGAGCGTTGTTCCTTCTCCTCCCACTTTCGTTTCTTTGCCTCGGCGTGTGTGTCTTCCTCACAAGACTCTCCCTCGGACTCGACCGCCTGATCGCAAGTGGGGGATGAATTTTCCGTCGGAGTTTTGGGACTCTTTCCCTTCCATGGCGAAAGCCAGTTCCCGATTCGGCCCAAGACCCCAGGACTCTGTTGCTCCTCTGAGTTCTCAGACTAGGGCAAAGAAGACAAATAACTCAGTTAAATGCCATTCCAACACAATATTGTTAAAAAACAAAACAAAAACAAAAGAAACATGCACTTTTTTTGGGGGGGGTGAAAGAGCATATAGCGCATATCATGTATATCGTCAAATTGAAAGCGGTGCAGATTTAGGAGCCTTTTTTTGTCTTGAGACCACTTTTTTTTTCTTTTTTTTTTTTAGTATGGCCATGCATCTCTCGGCACAGGAAGGACATGCAGGAGAGCATATAACCTGAAACCTTACCGTGGTAAATACCATATCATTCAGACTCTTTATGTAGGTTGTGAACATGTTTGGTTTACAACATACACTCCTACAGACCATAAAAAAACAAAAAACAAAGACATAACAAAGGAAGTGATAAAAGAGCAGAAATACTTCCGACCAGCACATTTTTGCCAGAGCAAAGCGACAGACCAATCGCTCGCTTTGTATCCAAGAGCAACTCACCCTTGATCAAACTTCAGTTGTAAACTTTTCCTTCCACCTGCAACAGACGAGCCGCCGCCAGCAATCGCAGGCCGCGTTTGGCACACCGGCGCTTAACTGACTGACACATTTTTAGTCCATCCGCTCAAGACCATCCACAACTGTATGAGAACGCTTTGAGTGAGGCATGTGAGAAATGCACTGCTGCTGGAAGTTCTGCCCCCTTCTAGCCCATGCAGCTGTGTGGTTACGTGATGCCTTCAGTGCGCCTTGTTCCAACAGCTTTTACATACCAAACCGGTCAGGTGGCAATTTTTATTAGGGTTTTTTTTTTTGGTGCAATTAGTCAGTGAACTGTCGCTTTGGCTCATCATCAAGAATCAAGCGAGATATGTTTGTATGGAGGAACTGATGACACTCACTCACACATTCAATTTATATCGAGGTCCTAGTTGAGGTCAATGCATGTATTTTTGGGGAGGGGTTGAAAATATATCTTTAAAAAAATGTATCAATGAAAGCTATATTGAAACTTATTTGTCATTGAATCTAATTATAACCGGTATTTAAATTGGGATGAACCCTGTGGTGTGGTTTTGTTGGTTATTCCTGTTGCCGTTGCCCTCTCCAAGAAGTGTTTCCTCACCTTTTACATGTCAAAATTGTATTGTATTCATTATCAAGTGCACATATCGCGAGACTTTGATTTTCACTTGCGCTTGGATTGTTTATACAAACATATAATGCCCAAATGTCTTCACTTCCGCAACGGGGTTTCTCTTGTGCTATCAATGCGTTAGTAGTTGGACTGTGTGTTACAACAGAAAATAATAAATCTCAGATTTCCCGACCCACGAGCATTTGAACGCAGCACGAGACTGAGCTCCTTTCCATGTTGGGGGGCGGGGGGGGGGGGACGCATCGGTTCCATATTTTCTCCAATGTGCTTGCGCTTTTTTATTTTTTTTAATTTGGCGGTTTGACTCAGTCTGCCTTTTTAGAGGGAAGCACAACTTTTAACCCCTTAACCACCGGACTACATTCGTCACGAAGACAAACAAAGAAGTTTTGAGCTTCGCGCGTTGGTTTTAATCGTTTTTTTTTTTCACGAGTTTGATACTTTTGCCTCCCGGCCGGTGTCTGTTACTTATTATTGCACGCCGAGTCGTGTTTACAGTTGAAACATTGCACAGCTCAGCTTTAGCGACAACTGTAAATCAACCGCGATAAGGTTTGCTATTCATGTTGTAAAACAGTTGATCCTTAACCTGGATGACTGCGTGCAAATAAAACAAATCGCACTTGTGCAAACGCGCCAAATCGATTCATTTCGAAAGTTATCAGTTCGACGGTCTCTTACCATGATCACACCGGTCTCGGGTAAGTCCCCCTCATGGACTGAACTCGTCCCCCCCTCTGGTGCCCGATGAATATTTAAGGGCGCCTCGCACAACGAAACCTCTTCGGCCGCCAGTCGCTATTATGTGTCATTAGTAGTTGGATTTTTCTTTTGAAAGGAGTGTTAACTCGTCTTCCGCGGTTAATAAGGGAACGCGGTTGCCGATGGAATCTGGCCGGCCCAGCTCTCACACACCCCGAGGCGTCTTTTCACGGAGCGCACACACACACACACACACACACACGTACGCACAAGATTTGTTGTGCCACTATAAAGAGACGTGCGGACACACAGTTGCTGCTTGGCTTGATTTTATATCTATATCGATATCACTCCCGATGACCGAAGACGAGAGAAATTCCGTCTTGATGTCGTTGGAAAAAAAAAAAAAGTGAAACTATAACATATGGCTCCCCCTGCAGGAATGAACATCAAGACTGGTGAATTTGATTTGAATCGTCTCGAAACTGTTAAATGCACATCTCCAGCTGTTCTCTTGCACGACTTTTTGCAAAACTTGCGTTTTCGAGCAAGGAGCTGTTGGGAACAGCATGTTGTGCAAAAAAAAAAAAAAAAGTAACACTCAACGGTGAGAAGGGAAAGTAAGTTTGCTGCCGATAAAGTTACAGTGCAACCTGAAATGGTACCTGGATTTGTGGTAGTGTAGTTACTCTTAGTTGCAAACTTACTCCTACTGAGAGGTGTTTGTAAAATTTTGCCAAAATCTTAAAGTTGCCTGAGATCACCACAAATGCAGGCTGTTTTCAGAATAAATGACCAGATTTAGCAAATTGTATTATTTGTCCCCATAGATGAGCAGTGAGGAATTTCCCCCCCCCCCCCTCCCGTCATGTATAAAATTTGGGAAAAATTATGCAACGATGACAAAAAAAAAAAAAAGAAAATTCCTGCGTTTCTCTGAGGTTTTGTTTTTCGAATTGCACTGCGGGCCGAATCAAGCGCCCTCACAGGCCCTTATATGGCCCACGGGCTGTTAGTTCCCCACCCCTGCTTCAGAAGCATGCATAGCGTGTTTCTCAGGTTTGTCCCACATGACTTATTCATGTCCAACTGACACCTGACTCCCTCGTCCACCTAATTAAACATTTAAATGCTTCTCATTTGCACTCAAGTTTGTTTATTTCTTTAATGATGTTCTTGTGAAATGCTTGAAAAGCAGGAAATAGAACGAATGATACCAACCAATTTGAATTTGCTAAGCGCGACTACATCAGGGTTTTGACGAGAGGCTAACTTGTCATGAGGGGGTGGAGGGGGGGGGGATGTGTGTGTTTTAGTCAAAGCTCAGGAAAAAGTAACAGAAATGAAAGCCTATTGATCTATTTTTCCAGAATCAATGTACCGATAATACACAAAAGTCAACACTCAACCTTTAGGGCATTGAAAGTTTTTTTTTTTTTCCTTTTTCATACCTCCCCGTGTGACACATCTATCCAATAATAGCCTTTTGTCACACTCTGGCCACTCCACCGTGCGCTGCTGTGTTGTTGAGTCAGACATCCTTTTGTGATCTATCGGAGCTCTCAGCAGATTTCAGACCTCTGCCAAGGCCAAACAATCAGAGTTTCCCTTGGCTCGCTTTTTGTATTAACATGTTTTCTCATATCCATTGAGTTTATATTTCAATTAAAAGGACATTTTTTCCTTGCAAAGAGCTGGAAAACCAGTCCAGGTGTTTACGTTTAATCAACAAGGCACACCTCCGAAAAAGCTCACGGCAACCCACCGAACAAAAAAATATCACCCAAAAAAAAATATGTCCGCTCTTGGAAATATTGATAATTCCATCTCAGTTTACCCACAAACACAACACAGGTGAATTCTTCTGACATTTCAAGGGAAGGGCTTTTAATTGTTCTCCCTGTCAAAGTTTTGTTGTTCCGTCGGCGGATAATTTGACTCGGGGTATTCATGCCGCGTGGAGTCCTCGACACCTCCGACGCACTTCCAAGTCGACAAGATGGAGTCACGGGTAAGTCCCATTATTTCCTGCAAGTATAACTTTGGTCTGTAAAACGGAGATGACGTTAGCTAATATGAGCGAACGCTAATAATTGAGTTCAAATGAAGTAGTGCATTGCTCATTGAATTCATTTTCCTCCTTATTTAACCCTTTCATGCACCCTGTAACCTGATCACATGATTAGCTATCCACCGTAGTAACCGCTGTCCCTGAAGGGGTTGAAAATAGTTCTTGCAGTATAAACGACTCTGCGACCTGCTAGCATAAATGTTAAGAGCCTTGAATCATTTATCTGTTGGTTCATCTGATTTCCGAGCTTGCGTGACGTCCCAAATAGTTCCAGGCAAGAGGAAGCAAACATTCCAAACATTTTCGTCGCTTTCTTTCTAGTTCGAATGTCGGAGGCTGTCGCCGCGGAGATCACATGTTCCGATCAGGTGTGATTGGCGGCCCGCACAGCGGGTCATCTTCTCCCAACGAAGAATTGTGCTCACAAGTGACAAAGTTTGGGATATTGAAGTGGGACAAGAAGTCACAGTCCGTATCTGTCCTCGTCTCATCTGCGAGGAGTCCATCGAAAGGTAAGCGGTCCCTCATATCTTCATCCTCCTGTTCGGTCACCGCGGGGCCAGGACCTCCTGACTGGTTGAAGGTCCCCTGCGATCCATTCTGCTTTGTTCCCGGTTTTTGCCACCGCTTTCCCTCGCCCTCCTTACTGATATAGAAATTAAAATAAGAGCGGGATTCAGCAAGGAAAGCACGAGAAACGGCATTGTTGTCGTCAGAGTCGTCGTCTTTCTGACAGATGATGTTCACAAGACCGTTTCCTGGACCGGGCAGGTTCTCGTTGTCTAAATTTCTGACAAGAAAAAAAAAAAGACATAGTCAAACACTGTTTTCGATATAGGGCTTGTATGCTTTCGGGTCATGGGTGAGCTGGAGTCGAGCTGAGATTACTTTGGACGAGTGGCACGGTACGCCCTGGACTGGTCGTTGGCCAAAATGACAGCAAAAATAATAAACATTAAGTGAGCGAGAAGCATTAAAAAAAAATCTGCCTTTAAGAGGGCTCAATTTGATTGGTGTTTATTAATTTGATTTAAAAAAAAATCTTTAGAATTGCATTTAAAAACGCAAATGGGTGATTGATGATCTTTTCGTGTGTGTGCGCGAGGAGGGCAATTGCGCAATACTCACTCTTGCTGCGGCGCCCCCGTCTTTGTGAGCATCGTGAGCACAAAAAACATGAAAATGACGAACACCGCAAGTCCGACCCAGAAGCCGATTACGATGGAGTCTGCAATGAGAGGGAACCAAAAAAACAAGATGGAATTTAACCATAATCCTTAATTTTTGAACGTTTGTCCAATTGACGCCGCAACGTGCGTAAAACCAACTGTAATCATCATCATCATCATCATCATCAGCCGGGCGAGTGATTTACGACTATCGACGGGGGGGGGGAAGCAGCGATTTCACATGCCAGGCTTACATCTGTGTGCTTTGAGTCCCTCAAATGAGACGGGCTCGTCGTCGTAGTATTCATATTGCCACACATAGTCGCCGCGCCGCGCGCTGCTTTGGCTCCGGTTGTGAGAGCTCATGTCATCCAGCCTTCAAAAATTTGGCACACGCGACAACAATCAAAACGAATCGACCAGCTCGACGGACACGAAAGACAAAAACAAACCCGAAGTTTACCTTCCCGGTGTGGAATCCTCCACCGCGACGATAGTTTGAGCTGCTCTGGATTTATGTTTACAAATCCTCCATCGATCCTTAATCACGCATCCTGGGTTACTTTCGCGCAACGGCTCAAATGTGAGCGGATTATGTCACAAGGCAATTAAACAGACACGTCATTTGGCACTGAGCCTAAAAGATCAAGTCGGGGATGTCACTCGGCTGAATCCCAAAGACCGAAATGAGCTGAGCGCTGTACAGGTTGCACGGTTAGTACTTAAAGTGCATATTTGAGTGATCGTCAGAAACCGCACAATCGCGCCCTCTGGTGGCATTGAGCAGGAACCGCCTCATCCTTGAAAACAAATGTGACATTTACCAAGCGATCATCTTCTTTATAAAACTAGCCAATTACAGTTGTGGGGCAGAAGTCACATTTCAAATAATAACAACCGTAATCATATGACGTAATTTCTCCTTGCATTTGATGAGTATCATATTTCAGATGGATGACTAGTTCTGAACAGAGGTCAAAGAAAAATGCAGACACACACAAAAATGCTTACTTGTCAGTAATGAAAATGTGGCATTTCCTTCTGCGATATATCCCTCCGATAAAAGATTCGATATGCATATCAATAAATTAAAACGATTCTGCATTTGATGAGTATCATATTTCAGATGGATGACTCGTTCTGAACAGAGGTCAAAGGAAAATGCTGACACACAAAAATGCTTACTTTTCAGTAATGTAAATGTGGCATTTCCCTCTGCGATATATCCCTCCAATAAAAGATTCGATATGCATATCAATAAATTAAAACGATTCGACTCAATGCCACTCGCATCTCTTAAATGGAAAAAAAAGATTTTCCGGTTCAAACCAATTTTTGTGACGCCCCAAATATTGACTGAAATAAAAATGAAAAACGAAAAGTTGAAAATGTGACTCACACCCAATCGGTTGTATGAGTGTCAAGTCTCAGACTAACCGTAAAAATACCAAATTTTTAAGCAAGGGGGGAAAACACCACTGTCTGCGATACGGCTTATTTAAAGAACAAAGAAAAATAATCACATGACTGCTGCATTGGTTTTTGTATTGACAAAAGGGGCTCTGACTCACATCCTCATCATAAAGGAGAGTGGCCATGAAATAACCGAATTCCTTTTTTTTTTTTTTTTTTTAATACAGCAAAAATGAAAATGGTCCTCTTGTAGCGTGATCAGTTGCTGTCGCAGTTTCTTTTTTCCACCCTCTTTGTGTAAATTACCTTTGGTCATTTCTGCATTTGGCGAACTCATTCAGTGTACTCTAAATGTGAACCTGTAGTTTGCAGTTTCATTCGAAAAGTGTGAGATGATGAAAGAGTTGACATATCGTTTCACTGACGGTACTCAAAATTGAGTTACATCGTGTATTTTTATTGGGCTTCTTCCGATGCCTGCAAATGGCTTTGCATCCGGACTGCTGGTTTCCAAGGTAACAGTCAGGACTTCAATTAAAAAGAGGATGCGATGCATCCCGACTGGCAAGCTCTTGAGTGCTGGAGCATATCCCGCCCTCCCCCTCCCCAATCATCTCTACAAGGGATGCATCAGAACAACGTGACCTGATTGCATGTTTGGGTTAATGTTAATCAATTGTCTCCGCTTCCCTCCCCGTTAGACTTAATTGCTTTGTCATATTCAGTGTGCGTCTCATATAGCCCGCTGAAGACAACTGACCTCACAAAATGCCCCCAAAATAAAATCCCCGCTTCGTCGAACAGTTGAGAATGAATTCAATCACATCTGGGTTGATCTCTTTGTGTCACTTGTCCAACTTGTTTCGCCATTTGTGTGTTGTTAACAAAATGGCATTTCTTCTACATTTCTACATCTGCTCTTGTTTGCATATGAGTCCCCCGCCCCCTTCCCCATTACCCTCCAAACTTTGTTTTGTGTACACAAGGCCGACGCATGCCGTCACCCCCTGCACTTCTTCCATCATTCAAACAGCGGGGGACTGACAGGAGGACATGTCTTTACACAAACACCCAAATGGCTAGCTATATATTTATAGCTAGCTAGCTCGTAGCGTAACTAGCTAGCTTGTAGCATAAATAGCTAGCTCGTAGCTTAATTACCAGGCTGGCTATCTAGCTATCCAGCTGTCAAACCACAACCTTATATTTATATATACATATACACACAGTGACAACGTATGTTTTTTTTTCCCCACTGAAAACTGTTATCAGTAGTTTTTTTCTCCTTCTTTTACTCTAGAATCCCTGTGTGAAGTAATACGCGTCTCTCAAACAATGAAGTTCAATGTTTGCATCGACCATTCAGCGTATATCACAGTACATCTTTGCTGACATGGCGCTTTCATAGCAGCTGTAACCAAGCGCTTTACTGAATAGTTAACATAAAATAACAAAATACGGTAATTTAACATAAGGCATGGACAGTCATACAATCTCCTCGCTCTTTCTTTTTAGCTCTCTCTCGCTCATACATATAGTGTAGAGAAAGAGAAAAAAACTAACATTCATTTGATACCGTTTTTAGATGCTTCAATTTTGCAACTATTAACTCTAAATGAAGTCTCTCTGACACACATACACGCGTACGTTTATTTACCCATCAATCAACCAGAATGCCAACATGTGGCTTTGCAATGCCCCCTACTGACGCGCACTGTGGGAGAGAACAACAGTCTTCAACCCCAAATGGAACTAATTAAATCAGCCGATTACAGTTTGTTTTTATTTGTCAAACAGCTTTACATCAATCCTAAATGTCATTATGGACTAATGAGGTATGTGTGTGTGTGTTCGCAAGTTTGCGTGGTTTTGGTTTCTAATTGTACTTGCTGATATGACTTCAATCCTTAAGCAATATTTATGACCAGTTAAGGAACTCATCCCCTCATTCGTCTTTTTTTTCTGAAATGCTGACGCGTGTCTACCCCCTGCCCCCCCCCCCCACACCCTCTCATCACCCACGCAGCGTGGCGTTGTCAAGAGCGGCACGCGTGTCTTCGCACCTTCCACCCAAATGGTTTTGACGCATATAACCTGAGCTTTGAACGCTTGCAAAAAAATGTAAAAAATGAGCCGATATATCCAAGTGCCTCTTTAAATTGTGAAGCGTCATAGTTTTGGGTTTGAGATTTGGTTGCGGTTTCGTTTCATTTTTCTTTTCTCGCACTTACAGCGGGGAAATAAAGCGATCTCCGTGTTCATCGATCGAACACGCAAATCAATGCGCCCTGTCGAGAGCTTACGCGCGCGGGGGGGGGGTCTTTGCAATGACGTGAGATGTGATCGAAAACGACGTTAAAAAAAAATCCCCAAAAGTAAGGCAAGTTTGGCCCAAATGTTCGGAGTTTGCTCATGTGTGACTTCACACCCCCGCTCAGTGGCGCATGGAAACACTTGGCGACGCGTCAAAAGTCCAATTTGGCGCAGCCCCTGTTAAATAGCCGCGTCCGCCGCGTCACGACCCACAGTTGCGACCTCTTTGAGGGGGCGAAAGACTCGACTCGTCTGGGATCTTATCGCCAGCGTCATTTTCGCTCTCCTTTAGCAATCATGAACGCTCGCGGTGGATTTAATGTTTCGGATGCGAACCAGCCCTCCGACATGTGGAGACCGTGGATTCGAAACGACTCGACGGCTTCCCTACTTGTGGTAAATTTTGACTTGACTGCGCGATAAACACGCGTGGAATGTATTCCGCATGGAGGTAAAAGTCTAACGAAAGATGTTGAAACTTTTCAGGCTCCTTTCGATCCTGCTGCAACGCAACCCAAACCGGCCCTTTTCGTTCACCCCGTCAAGTAAAATTCTTTTTATTTTATGATCCAGCAGGACTTACTGTACTTATTCATTTTTTAACTCCTCCTCACAGATGCTTATTTTTATTTTTTTTTTAAAGGTTGTACTGGCCCAAAACCAAATGCTTTGACTATCTGTACCGGGAAGCCGAGATGCTCCTTCGGAACTACCCGGTCCAAGCCACCATCTGCCCCTGTGAAGACTCTTCGTCCACTGAGGAGGACACGGAGGAAGATGATGATGATGATGGTGGTGATGATGAGGATGATGACGATAGTGATGATGAAGAGGAGGAAGTGACAGAGATGGCCAAAGACCTCCAGTAAAGTTTCCAGTTATGTGCATAATGGTTTAATATATTTCCTATTCCTATTTATTGCTGTAAATATTTGTAAATAGACCAGCTGTCATTTGTTTTATACCACACACACCCAAAAAAAAAAAAAAATTCTAAATTATTTTGTCAACTACCTCTTTTTTTGTGTTTTGTGCACCCTGCAATAAAATACTTTCAATGAACCACAATTTCTTGTCTGTGTTCTGAATCGAGTTTGGGTGAACGAAGTGGATTTTTTTGGCGATTTAGCACGTTGCTGTGTCGTATTGTCATCAAGCAGATGCGTTTCTTTCTCTAGAACGGCACACGCTTGGCTCCTTTTCCCACTGATAGAGTGCAAGGTCGTAAACGTAGCCACTTCCTCTGCTCGGTCGCCTGAGGTGTGCGCGGTGCGTGACAAAATGGAGGTGTCAGCCTTTAAGAGAAAACGAACATGTGGACTGGCGTCCAACGACACTGCCTTTTTTTTTTTTTCTCAGATGTTTTGCAATATAAATATACATTGACATGCTTCAATTCATAACCAAAACGCACCAGCGATCAAAGAAAGGTGGTCCTGTGTGCAAAATAACTTCACCTTTTGAGATATGTTGGATTGGAAGTGCTTTTATTTCATTCAATTGTAGTTAAGTTAGAATCAGGACTTGGTATAAAAGTCGATACAAGTCAGGGTAAGACTATTTTGTACCAGATTCGGTCAAAACTCAGCTTTCAGACTCATCAGGCCGCCGTAAGTCAATTTCTCCATTTTGCATCAAGCAAGAATGATCCCAAACCACTCCTCCAGCGTAGGAGGCAGCGGATTCAACCGCTTTCCTGGCAAGTCTTTTTACGAGCCGCCAGAAGAATTTGACATAACTTTACGCCTTCAGTTATGCTCCGTTTTTTTTTTTCCAGGTAAACAGAAAGAGCAAATGACAGCTAACAATTAGTGAATCTCCCTTTTCGTATTGTGTAACTATTTTGAGTTATGTCGAAGTAGAAATTCAATTTGAATTTAACTTTACGCCTTCAGTTATGCTCCGTTTTTTTTTTCCAGGCAAACAGAAAGAGCAAATGAAGCTAACAATTAGTGAATCTCCCTCTTCGTATTATGTAACTATTTTGATTTATGTCGAAGTAGAAATTCAATTAGAATTCATTTGTATTTTGGACATTTTGTTTGAAATCGAACCGTTTTATCACTTGCGGCCCTGACTCACCTCAATAAATTGACCTTTTGACTTTTTGTTTTTCTCTCGGGGCCCTCTAAAATTTATATTTGCGTATCCCCCGCGGTAAACTTTTAATAGTGCAAATTACATCCCGAGTGTTACAATTTGAATGCTACAATGAAGCTCAGTTGCGCGCTAATGACCCCGAACTCTTGTCGGCATTCTCAGGCGTGCCGTGGGAACTCTTGGGATCAACTGGACGCGTTTTGTAGGGTGCAAACTCTCCACACCTTGCCGGGCGAGACCGAACGCACCGTTGCCACTGAACTCATGACCTCCCACTATTGCATTGAGAGAATTATTACCACGTAAATGACTTAACTATACTCATGCCCACCCCGGCTCATTTTGACTCAAAGCAACTTTTGAGTAGCTTCATGCTAAATGCACAACTTAACGTTTAGCGGCAAGGCTGCATGCATCTCAAACTAAAAGGTGCAAATGGGAAAAAAAAAAGGGGAGGGGGTGAAATTAGGGGGTTTGTGGCGCAACATTCGTAAATTGAATGCGATGATGCTCTGATAACCTCTTCAACTCAAGGCTCGCCTGCCTGGAACTTTCCCAGGCTTGGGTGTCAGACTTAATGCTATCAGCGGTGTCACCTACTTGGGTGTGAAATGCACTCACCTCCGCAGTTAAATATAAAACCAACCACTGATGCCCTGGCTGATGAACTTTAGCCCTTTAATGCACAAATACAGACACTGGTTAAAAAAAAAAGTTGGGTGTACTCAAAATTTAATTGAACTAACAACTAGCTTGCCTCGTTGCGCTAACATTGTTGCCATACACCTCTACAATTTATATATTTTTTTCCCCCCACCGTGACATTGGGACCCTGAGTGAACTTTGCACCATGCTAACCCTTGCGGCACATGCTGCCCTTTTTCTCATGGGTGGGGTGTAAATTAGGAAGGTGCGAGTTAGACTCACCTTTAAGGGTGCGCAGACAACCCCCTCCACCCTCCCCCGAGCCCTTGTTTGACCTCTGGGACTTGTGCATGTGAGCCACAAATACCATGCCTCGAATTAAACTTCCTACTTCTATTTACTAGTATGTATACAGTCATACAGCCTGGAGGAAAAATTTACTACTCACAGCTTTCATGCACCAATAATAATCTGCAACCTGATAATCCGATTTCCACTGTAGTAACCGCTGTCCCCGAAATGGTTAATGGTTCCTTTAGTTCTCATTTAAATCAGAAAATGAGCAATACTGGAACAATGATGGCGCAATATGCGAGTCTCTTACTCTCTGCACATCTTGGTGAACCAAACGCATCCAAATTTCTTTTATTCTTGTAAACATCAAGTGCACTTATGACTCAAAGAATCCTCTCCGCGCGAGACTGCTGCGGTAAACTCTGCGACCTCGCTTAGCGGTGTGAGCAGTGACACTCACAGAGGTGACAAAGTGTGACCCAGATGAGTCCAAGACCGAAGATGCTTCTCACAGTCACACCTTTGGTCGTCTGCCAGAGGTCGGGGCAACGCACTCCGCTTTGGAATGTTTGTACGCCCCCAATGGTTGCACAAATGCCCAAGGCCTATTGTCATTCATCCATTTTTTTTAATAGTGTTCCGGGTGGGCCGTAGTCGGTTCCGGTTGACTTTGGGTGAAAGGCAGACTCTTGTAGTGATGTATGAATGTAAGCACGTCTGCCGCACACTTCTCCTATTGGGGGATACTGTGTTAAATTTGTATGTAGCATTTCATACGGTGTTAGTTTTGACTAGCATGCTTAAAATTTACAAGTCAAATGAACCCATAAACTGCCTAATATCAAAGTGGCGCTAACACCCGGTGGAATTGTTCTTTTCCATACTGGAGGATTAAAATGTATCTTTTTAGATGACTTTGACAAAATACATCAAAACTTTTGAGTAGCGAAGAGCATAGTTGATCATGAGATGAAGCAAAGAAATGAGTTTGAGTGTGGACATGGGTGATGTAATTTTACAGTATTTCCACTTGGTGGCAGTATTACACTTCTACACTTGCCCGAGGTGTTCCTTTTTTTTTTTTTTTGGTAACTATAAACCGTTAACTAACAGAAAAGATCTTTTGAAAATAGATTCCAAAGTGGAAAACAAATGCAAGTTATTTGCTTGGAATAGAGGAGGGGTTAAAAAAAAAAAAAAAAAAAAAACGCTTACAATTACCAACAACCAAATTGTCCTTTCACAGTGCATGGATGTTTCGTGGCGTCCATCCTTCTTGCCTGAGCACAATTAAACGATACAAATAGGACTTTGTCAAAGAGACATAGCCTCCATTTAAAGACTTAGTCTCTTTGAGATACGTCGACTGGAGATAATTACAATTTCAGCAACATTTGCCAGGTGATTACCTCATAATCCCCAATTTCATTTGAGAAGTCACGCATTGATTCGACTGCGAGTTGGAGCTAATGGAGTAGCTAGCGCGCGCCGCCACAGTGATTTGTATGCCGGGGCGAAAGGACAACGACAGATTGAAGGCAGAAAAACAGACGCTCGCCATCGCCTTCCACTCAGTTAGCAAAACAAAAAACAAAAAAAAAACGAGCTTTAATCAAAGCAGCCCGAGCCCAAAGAGTAAATCGCGCTGATACAATGACGCGTGCTGACAGTTCAAATAGTCTCTTACATAAAAAGCTGGTCTTTTTTTTTGTTGTTGTTGCTTTTTTAAATAGTGGCTCCTATTGCAAGGTAGGGTGGGGGGGGGTGATAGAAACAGTGGATGAAGACAGAAGGGGAAAAGGGAGAGACGAGCCCTGCTTTGTATTCACCTGCGTCTCTGGATCAATAAAAGATAATTTGGGCTGATTCCTCCCCGTAGGCCTCTTAGCAGACGGGAGGGGAGAGGGGTCAGCCGCTGCTGAGCTGCCAGGAGCTGGAATAACTTAGAAACACACTGCAAATTACTGGCCCTTGTTTGACTATCTCTCATTCGGCTTTTTTCGCTCTGCCGAGAGAAGCCACATGAGGCGAAGTCCTCACCCTAATGGGAGTGAAGGAAAAGAAGGCAATTCCGCCCTATGGGCAAGAATACAGTATACTGTCACTCTGATTTAAAAAAAAAAAAAAAAAAAAAATCCAACCTGTATGGTTGATGCCTCCAAAAGCTATTTTTACCTCGGAAACAATCAAACTCGAAATATTTTCCATTGTCTGCTACATGTCAGTGATGTTGTAGGATTTCATATTTAATAAAATGTCATATTTTGAGGTGACGTGACATTATTTGATGTGCTGTAACAAGAAATAAATCAAAACGAATAAACTGCGAAATCACTTACAGTCAATTAAAAATTAAAAATTGGTAACCCTACAAAAACGTAGACTCAAGAAAGTTGATCCAACCAAAACTATTTATTGACACAAAGTAGGTGCAAAGCCAAGAAAGTACAAATCATGATGCTGGACAACAAGCCAGGAATAATGCGACAAAAACAAGCGTTTGCATAAATCAAGAAGAAAAACAACAACCCACGAACGCCAAATAGCTTGTAACAAAAGTACAAGAAAGACCAAACCACGTGGAGAACAAACCGTGGGTACACTTCCAACACACCAAGAACGACTTAGTTGAATAATGAAGAACATAAGCAAAGGTTGGATATTCCGTCATAGTTTCAGCAAATGCACAGTAACAGGTCATAGCGTAACACCTCATCAGATTGGTTATGATGAGCTTTTATTGGGAGTTGATCCTTAGGTGCTCGCTGAGCTGAGGTTACGCGACATATACCGAAGTCTTGAATGAAATCCGAAGTTTTGGGCGCTTTCAGAGGTATGATTTCCCCCCTCCTCCCCCCGGGTATTTTCCCGTGACACCATTTTCTCCCCACTTTGGAACTTGCCGAGGCTACCCAAAAACAATTCAAAGACTGCCACTAATCCCCACAAGGATGACCGCG